CCCTCAGGGCTCTTGACCTGCTCTGGTTTAGAGCTCGCAGGAGAACTGGCAGCTGCTTCACATTATCCCTTGGCTGATGTTAGAGCACACTAGAAAGAGCAAAGGCAGCTCTATTAACTGTGCAAACAGAGGGCTAGATTTGCAAGGAGCAGCTGTTAAGCAGTGGCTCACCGTTGCTCCCCACCCCCAAAGCCAATCTGTGCAGATCCCACCGCAGGATGGGACAGGCGAGTCCCACAGGCACCAGACACCACCGGGTAGTGTTCAGCCCTTGGCTGCTCCGACCTGCAACTGTGGGAAGGAGAATGAACCCCCACATACCTGAGCCAAGATCTTGTACAGGGGCTCCAGAATGAACTCCACGAAACTGCGCTGGGAACTGCTCGTTGGGGCCTTTTTGGTGAACTTGCGGCTATGGGAGACCAAAGAAGAGACATGAAGAGCGTCTGCAGCCTGCAAGCACCCCGACGGCAAACACAGCCTCTGCTCTTCCCAGGTTATCTCCTTCTCTCTCCCAAGCCCCTGGGAAGCTGTCACACAGGAGTCGTGCCGACTCCACACGAAGGCCAGAGGAGGCTCTGTCCCTGCTGTGGGATTCGGGAGGACCACACGGATTCACGCCAAGCAGGAGGCCTGACCCAACCCCTCCCAGATACGAGCCCATCACAGGATCACGGGACAACTCAGGTTGGAAGGGACCTCGGGTGGTCGCCCAGTCCACATTTTACAGCAAAAAGAGAGAACAACCTAAACAGATGTTTAAACAGGCTTCTTACGTCTTCGGGTTGAAGTAGATGTCACCCCACAGCCGCTTCGCAAACTCCTGATAATTGATATCTCCTACAGGGAAAAAGCAAACGACAAAAGTCTCTCAGAGTCACTGCATTTATCTCACCTTGAAAATCTTTAGGTTTTGGCTTTAAAACAACCCTGAAGATTTGATTTAATAGATCGATGCTTGGTCCCAATTTGGAATGGTTAAGCCCTGACCTGGGGAGAGCAGGCAGAGAGGGGGCAGGAAACAGTCCGCTGAGGACGACACCGGCAGCCCAGGTACACTGTGGGGTCACAGACTTGCTTCTCAGGGACATTTCAACTCCCTCAATTACACACAAGGTTAAAGTGGAGAAGAGCTGCCCTGCCAGACGCCACGCTGCAGGAACTCAGTTACATCTGCTTCCTTCTCCAAACGTTAGCGCTGCGACCTGACGCTGTAGTGCCAAGGTACTGGGATGGCTCACACCCCGCAGGCTGATCGCAAGCATTTTCTGCCTTGCTGAACATCTCCAGGTTCTTTTCTCTTTTTCAGCTGATGCACTAAGCGCACAGCCACATACCCAAGTGCTGAAGGAACAGTGGAGTGCTTGGCTGTCACGGTGAATTTACAAATAATAAGGCAGCGGTGATAATTTACAGTAGTTTCCAAACAAGCTTTTGCTGTGGGCAGATGTGCAAGCATAAGAAATTTCACGGTGGCTGCGGTTTTGACAGTTAAACTACTATAACTCATGTTAGCTGAAGTACGGTGGCTGCACATAAAATCCCTGGTGGCCACAATCGAGTATTACCGACTTCAAGTACCGCTCAGCTCGTGTCTGCCCCACGTGGATGACATCTCCCACCACCCCTGCCTGCATCTGCAGCGCTCCCCCGAAGAAGGGGGATCAGCCTAGAGGCACCGAGTTAATGCTGGGACGCCCAGGCAGCTCATTTATTTCTCCAAACTCACCAGGACGCACGACAGTCTGACACCTCAGTCCCTGACCTCTACAACTTCACCCTCCCTCGGGCTAACTTCTCTGCAAGAGCTGGGCCAGCTGCTTTACAACATCCTTCCTCCCCTGCTCACGGCTCCTACAGATCACCCCCAACTCCCCAGCGTGAGACTTCAAAAGCTTGGCTGTACAGCTGGCTAATGCCAGCAAAAGGCCCACTTGTACAAGTGGCAGATTGCCTTGAGCGGGCACCTGGGGAACAGAAAATTAAATCAAAGCCAGGAAAAGGCACTTTCTTAAAAAAGAAAGAGGGCAAGAGTGCAAAACCTTGTGGGCCAAGCTCGTGCCTGGCTGCAGCTGAGTCCCAGACTCTGGAGACTCGCGAAAAGACAGGCAGAACTTAACTGCTTCGCTCCTGAGCTGTTGTGATAAGGAGGCAAAGCACAACACATACACTTGCCTTCAACTGCCACAGCAGGACTTGGTTCTTCTGATTAAGTGTACATATCACATGTTGGCTTCTGGCTCAATAAAATTTATCAGGAGAGACTATCTAGCTAAAAACAAGTCAGAACTATTTTTGCTCTTTACGACCCAGGGCCCAGGGCTGCAGCACCTCTCAACGCCCCGAAATTCAACAACACACACGCTGCCCATACACGTGCAGTGAAAGGCAAAGCTGAACAGCTCAGAAAGCCTCAACAAAAAAGGTTAGGAAATGAGATGTTAAAGTGTACAAGGTTTCTGGATAATCCTCACCATATGTGTCTGCATAAATCTTTGCAAAAGATCCCAGCGTGAAGCAGATGCTGTACTGTGAACTGGAGAAACACACGTTCCCCAGAAGGGGAGACAGAACGAGGTTCTCATCGGTGGAATACATGCTGAGAGGAGACAGTTTGTAGAGACAAGAAAAAAAAAATAAAAATCAGTGCTATGAACCACAGAAGACACTTAAATCTACTTCCCACACCAAACAGCAGTATGTGGTAGGCAAGTGATTGCCAAATAGCATCTTAAAACGGGCTGCAGCATGCTTGCCATCAACATTTCAGGGTCAGAATCATTTTATGACTACTAACTGTAAAGCACCAGTCTGCAAAGAAATATTTCAAGATCTAGAACTAAAGTTAATCGGCACAAGTGCTTTGTATTTTTTGTCAGGTAGAGTTTTTCCTCCCCTAAAAAAAGGCAGCAAAGTTGGTCAACTAAGCAAGGGGAAAGATAATACAAGGCAATAATGTAGGAGGGATAGAACTGAACTGAAACAGTTCTAATGGACTCACAAGCATGCTGGACAGGAGAAACTACCCTGCTCCAAGCTGCCTGCAGCAACTGAACAGAGACAGGCAAGGGAGCTTGTGTGCAAATTCACACCCACTCCAAGGGCAGAATGCTGTTAAGAAGACCACCTGGATGCAGAAGAACCCACAGAAACAATGCATTGCTGCAGTGAAAGCTGGAGAAGATGTCCCTCCCTTCTCTGAGCAGGGTCTTGCAGGGAGATTTGACCCCACCAGCACCAGAGTCTCTGCTCAGGGGTTGGGACGAGTTCCCATTGGTTTTTTAACAGGTGTTTTAGAGCTTTGAGACATCTCAACCTGTAATTTGGGATACAGCCCAGACAATTTCAGCACATGTGAGACATCTGGGAGCACAGAAGTTCCCTGCTCTGGTCATACAGCCACTTTCCCCACTTTTTAATGGGGAAAAAAAGAGCTGATCCCATGAAACGTGTCAGGAAGAGTCAATCCTGCCTAACTCAATATATTGGCTGAGATGAATTCCCAGCAGTTCTTCCCACCCCGTTTTCTATGATTCAACATATCAAGAAACAAACTCATTAGTTTTTAGGCATCCACGGGGCTCACAGAGGGAAGCACCCGAAATAGAGCAGGGACAGCGAGCACCAACGACACATCACCCCAATACCTGATCAGACCGTTAACTTCATCCACGATATGTCTGAGTTTGTAATAAGCATCTGTAGGGGGCAATTTCAGCTCCAGGATCAGTCGGTCTATCTTGTTGATGCACACAGTCACTGCCAGCCTTTCCTGCACCGCGTGCTTGATCAGCCTCTCCGTGTTCAGCATCACCTGCAGGGAATCACGAGCACAAACACCCCGGTGAAAGCCCTCCACAAAATGCTCTCTGGGGCGTGACAGACAAACCAACGACCCTTACACACAGGGCTGCAACTCTGTAGGAAAGCCTCAGCTCAGCCATCAGCTAATCCTCCTGAAATTTAGAAGTAGGCACTAACCCGACTGAATTCCTAAATCCTACCCCTTGGACATCTCGGATATACATAACCTGCTCAATTTTAGGTATCGCGAGGATGGAGAGGCAAACAAGTTAATCAGCCCACAGGGCACACGCATCACGTCAGCCCTGGACACGCAAGCCAGAGGCTTGACTCCCTGTTTTGCCTGGAAAACACTCTCACTTCCCCAACTGTCCTTCAAAAATCCTTCACCCCGCAAAGCTGAGGGCCAGGCCTTCACTTCAGGCAGGATCAAACCCTCCAGAGGAAGAGGTTTTGAAGTTAACCCCTAGGAGCGAGAATGTGGCACTCACCCCCTCGGCTGCATCAATGAAAAGTACAACGCCATCTGAAATACGAAGGCCAGCTGTCACCTCGTCAGAAAAACTGACAACACAAAATGGTGCTGAGAACCAGAGTCAGCCCTGACACCAGCAGCACAGAGGGTGGAAAGCCATCCTCTGCTCCGCAGCATTGAGGCAGAACACAGACGGCTTCCTCCTCAGACAGGGACCCGGGAGCAGCTGCCAGAGCTCCGCAGAGGGATCTGCTTCAGCTTTAATGCTATTTTTTGAGAATAAACACAACAACTCATTTAACAGGCACTTTTCCTCACATTTGTTACTGTTTTTCTCACAGCTCTGTGCAAGTACTTCAGGAAAAGGAGGAAGATTACTTCTCACCAAAGAACAGATGCCTCTCCCTCCAGTCTCCTCCTGCGCTCTAACCTCCCTCATCTCGAGCTGTAACTCAACAGATGTGTCCCAAGACCCTCTTTCCTAAAGTTTGGCCTTAGTTTCTTACAACAACTTGATCTGTGATTATGTTCCCCTCACAGAAGCTTGTCAGAGGCTGGAGGGAACTTGCTTAGGGTCTCACTGTGGGGCAACAGCATTTGAGAAAAGCACGGCCCCCACTGGGCAAGGTGTTACCTGGAAAATCCAATTCTACATGTGCTCCTCATACACCTGAGCAAAACACATTTGCAGCCCCAATAGCCCATAATTAGGCCTCCTAATCAGAAACACAAGCCTGACTAGAAGCCAGCTGCAGAGTTGTTACTTCTGGAAGTGATTTCAGAAGAAAGAATTTAGCTAAAGGCTCAGGACTAGGCTGGAATCATCTACAAAACCCACAAAACAAAACATGCGGTTTTGCACAAGAAAACTTCCCAGGGCTGCACTGCACCTGGGTGCCATTTCCAGATGAATCAGTGCGGTTTCAGGGTAGAGATTCTTTGTTTTTCTGAGAGCCAATGCTACCCAATCCCCTGCGATCCAACACCAAAGCTCTCTGAATGCCCTCATTAACCATCACTGCATGTGTTTGTACTGCTCTACTCCTGTCAGCAGCACCAGCCAGAGAACCACAGAGGTTGGTTAATGAGAGAAATCTTGGTTCACACGGTCACAGATCTGCCCCACACATCACCCTGCCTTCAGCTAAGTGCATCCCAAAACAGGATTTTCAGGATTACACAATCACCTGGAGTGTCAATGATGTTGAACAGAAAAGACTTTCCTTTGGTGTCGGGCAGGACAATAGTCACCGGTGTGCTCTTGATGCCTACTCCCCTCTGCAAGACAGGAAACCAGCATTATCGGTTACAAGAAAAAATACTTCAGCAAGGTGACCAAAGAAAAATGCGGAAGACGGAAAGAAGTAAACATCCACCCAGGACATCCTGTTACTCCCAGGGAGGGAGTAACAACCTCAGATCGCTGCAGTACCCAGCTCAGCTCCTCCATCCATACTGGCTCAGACTGGTGAGCTACCACTGCACAATCCACGCCTCGCCTCACCTGAGGAACTGCAACACCCGAGACAGAAGACGCGTGTTCTTCTGTGCCTTTGCCCTTCTGCTACTCTCAAGTTATACCTCAAAGCAGAAGATTTGATCACCCAGAGTACAGAGTAGAGCATTAAGATGAAGAGAAAGAAACACTGCACAGGACTGTTCTGGTCACGACAATATTTAACGAGTAGGACAAAATAAGATTCCCATTCCCACCCAACCACATGGAGTCAGAGCTCCCAGCTAAGAGTTCCCATCAAAGGAAACAGAGGACAAATATGTTCATTCTGAAATCATAGTTTCTCTCCCCATTCATCGTTGCTGCAAAACCCTTCCACCTCTTTCCCTCAAAGAAAATAGGAGTTACTCATATGCCTGAATAACTGTGGGGTAGGTTTTCATCATGACGCAGGTTGTCATCTCAGCTAAATAAAACCAAACATGGACATGAGGGCTGCAGGAAATGGAAGAATGTTGGACCAAGGATCTTACTGAGGGAAACAAGAGGAGCAGATCATTTTATTGATAAGAAAACTATCATAGAATCACAGACTGGTTTGGGTTGGAAGGGACCTTAAAGCCCATCCAGTCCCACCCCCTGCCCCGGGCAGGGACACCTTGCACTAGCCCAGGTTGCCCAAAGCCCCCTCCAACCTGGCCTTGAACCCTGCCAGGCAGGGGGCAGCCACAGCTTCTCTGGGCAGCCTGTGCCAGGGCCTCACCACCTCACAGGGAAGAATTTCTGCCTTACATCTCATCTAAATCTCCCCTCTGTCAGTTTAAAACTGTTACCCTTTGTCCTACCCCCTACCTCCCTGATCAAGAGTCCCTCCCCCCTTTCCTGCAGCCCCTTTCAGCCCTGGGAGGCCGCTCTAAGGTCTCCCCGGAGCCTTCTCTTCTCCAGCTGAACCCCCCAACTCTCGCAGCCCGTCCTCACAGGAGAGGTGCTCCGGCCCCCTGACCATCTTTGTGGCCTCCTTTGAACCCGCTCCAACAGGTCAAAATGCAGAAGGCACAATAAGATGTTAAAATGGAACAGAAAACTGCCTACAGTAAGTAACTGTGAGTAAAGCATGAGATAGCTGGATAAAAATCACTGCATGTTCTACAAGACTCACTCACCTCTTGCTCAGTGAACAATATATCAGTGTAACAAAGCTGAAAGACAAAACAAGAGTCAGAATGTCACATTTGGTATCAAATACTAAGTTTGAGGCAGGACACCATAACTCTTTACAGATGGTTCAGGTGGCAGGTGAATGACAGAGACAGAATCAGGACTGAGCTCTGGATTTCCAATCCTACGTTCTAATCACTAAAACTGCATTTTCCACACGTACAGTCACGCTCCAAGTGTAAAATCCAACCCATGTTCCCCAGGGCAGAATACTCCAAAAGCTCACTTACGTCCTGGTCGTAGCGCTTCCGGATTTCTGGGTGTGTCTGTTCTATCAGGCAGTCAACAAAACAAGTCTGAAAAACATCAGAGCACAAGAGAAAGGAAGGGACTACGTTCAGACACAGAAATACAAATACAATCCCATCCCTCCAGTAGCAGTACAGAGAACGTTGGGCACGGTATTCTTTCCACGTGGCTGAAAGAAAACCCACAAATAAGCATTAGCAAGAGGAGCAGAAAGAGACTGCTGCTGGAGAGATTGAGGGCTCAGGAGCGACGGTAAAAGGAGGCAACAAACAGATCATTACTACTACCCGATAGATGTGGGATATTCACACTACCTTGCCGTGGTGAAGGTGCCCACACAGAGTCACATTTCGAATTAGCTCCGAGTTGTCCATCAGATCTGCCAGGAAACTGCAGGAACAAAACACAAAAGACTCTTGGAGGCTTCTGCTGTGCCTAAGAAAAGTAGGTGCCGTTTCACCTACACTGTCTATCCAAGGTGCCCCCTGAATCCTCTCCAAACTCTCATTCTGCCAATGCCCTGCGGAGGAAGAATCCCACTTTCCAGATGGGGAGGACAAGAGAGTTGGAGTCCTAGACACATGGCAGTGGGTGGGAGAATACGGAGCTGGCAAAACTGCCAGCGATGGAATATTATTGAATATTTTTCTTCTCTTCGAGTCAGTATTAGAGCAAAAGTCACATCCATGTACTCAGACGATGAAATCCTTCCACTCAAATAGTGGCAGGCAGTCAAGTAAATCACAGAGCTGGATAACACACACCCCACACAGTTTTAAGAGGCGGCCATGGGGATCCGCAGACCATTAATTCTGATTTTCAGGTCTTAAAACAGTGATGTTCCCAGGGCCTCAAGGAAACAGCAATGGAATTTACATGGGTTTAGAATCAGCAACTGAGCTGGGTAATGATGGCCCGATCCCTTCTGCATGGAACCTGGCCAGAACATAATTGAGATCCTAAATTACCAACTTCCCTAAACAGTAATGGGAGGCTATAAAACACGTATCCATTGCTACGGGTCTGCAGAAGATAAGTGCTGTCAAATAATCTCCTGTAAAAAAGATTTAATTTTCACTGATGCAGTAGACTTCTTAACGTACAACGTTTTGATTAAGAGCTAAAAAATACAAAAATCAATAATAATACTGATTAAAAGCTTGCTTATCGGCCTTAAAATAAGGCTTAATGGGAAATCAATACTAAGCTTGCAGGTTTCTGGCTGAGTCCCACAAGGAATTTCTCTCAGCCCCATCCAAACCATTTATATCAACAAGCAGGACACAGAGAAATTCATTACAGACAGAAGGAGCAGAGATCCAGGATCACGGGGATCAGGGAGGCGGTAGATCATGAAGAGTACAGGGCATGGACTAAGAGCAACATGGACTGCCTAGAAAAAAAAGGCCCAGCAGGCTCTTTGGGTTGTATCGAGCTCGATCAAAAATCTGTCCAACCAGGGTGCTGGGCCACACTGCGTAGGCTGTGCTTTTGCCAGGAAAGGTTGGACCACATGGTCCTTAGGTCCCTTCCAAGCTGGAATTCAATGATCCCACGGCACAGACAGTACCAGGGGACAGCCTCGAGAAGCTGCCATTCCAAAAAGGTCCTGGGCATCCAAGTAACCAACCGAATACAAACCCCAGGGAAATTCTGTTGCTGGAAAATAACAAGATCCTTGATGATACCCAGAGGGACTGCTCACATGGGGGTCTGGCACACAGGGAATGCATCTGGCTCTGGGATCTACACTTGAGGACTACTATTAAAACTAGCCATGAAACGGCGTATGGAAAGATGAGCCTAACAAGACACTCACGCAGCTCAATCTGTTCATCCTCAAATAGCAGACAACATGAAAAAACACTACACACGCAGGGATAAAGAGCCCTTCCACCATCAACAAAATGTAGACGACGATGCTAAGATTACGTATTTTTAACAGAGACAGTACACAACGGGCTTTATGCCTCACTAAAGTTGCATGAGATATTATATCCCGAATTTTTAATTCGTTTGGATTTTTTTCCAGGTTTTCCCCAACTCTGGTGTCCCAGGGGCTGCTCTGCAGGACACAGCCAGAGACACCATCAAGAGCAGCAGAAGTGCAGCTCAGCTGCAGCGTTACGCTGACCTACATACAACCAGCAGCACAGAAATTCCCTCTGAAAACTCTTCCAGCATAGTTGGGAATTAACTTGAGACAGCAGTAAGGCAACGTCACTGGGATCAACCCAAAATGCCCCAACATGAGGTGTGCCACACACTGACCATATGAATATTTCTTGAGCCAGTTAGAAAAACTTGCCTTCAGCAAATCTGCACCACAAGGATCCCAATTACCAAGCTTTATATCAGCTGTTGGGGTAAGATTTACATTCTTTGTCAGAAAAACTATGCACTGTGCTGCATACTGTGGAGGGAAAATACTTGTAATGTGGTTAGTGTTGTATTTTCCTCCTCTTGTTTTTGGTTCAAAATCTGGGAAACGGCTGCACTCAGTTCCGTTGCTGGTGTCAGTAAGAAACAAAGCTAATGCCC